TCACTTAACTATCTGCTGAACTCTACTACAGAGCTAGGACTACAGATACAAAAATTCACACTAGTTATCCACCCTTGACATGTAAGCCAAAAAATTATCCCTGGCAAGATTCCTCCTCTAGCAGAGATAAGGATCTGTGGGAAGGCTACAGTGGAACAGAGGAGGGAAGGACCGGTCAAACCTGACCTTATACTCTGAACATCAGATGAAAAAGTGGGTTTGGGCAGGAAAAGAAGTCAGGAATTAAAACCGAGAACAAAATAAGGGAGGGCAATTCCCGGACTGTAGCTACAACAGCGCCAGGAGCCTCCAATAAGGAAGGGAGCTGAGCGGGGGAGAACCAGAAAAGCAGGTTGGGGGCCAGACCCTAGAGGGCACAGAATACCAAGCTAAGGAATGTACACTTTACTTGGATTCAGATCTAGGCCAGGGAAGCAGCAATCAGGAAGACGACTCTGGCAACAGAGGGACTGGAAAGGCGGGGAGGGAGATCAAAAGTGGGAGACCAGTTAGAGGCTGCCAAAATGGTTTGTTGTTGTTGTTATGTGCCCTCGAGTCAGACCCGACTCATAGCGACCCCTCCTTGAGTTTCCGAGGCAGTATCACTACAGAAGTAGATTGCCCCATCTTCCTTCCGAGGAGTGGCTGGTGGGTTTGAACCGCCAGCCTTCTGGTTAGCAGTCAAGTGCCTTAGCCACTATGCTACCAGAGCTCCCCCAAAATGGTTTAGGCAAGAGGAAATGAGCACCTGAAATCCTCCAGCAAAGGTTAATAGAGGCAGTGGGCAGATGTATGGGAAAAAGTCGAGTCCTGGTAAGTGAATATAGATAGGAAAGGCAGCAGAAAATCGGAAGCCTGGCCCACCAAAAGAATAGTGGCACTGCTGTGAAAGAGCAGATACACAGCAAAGAGATCTGTGATGTCACTTGGTTGAGGTGGGAGAAGGGAGTACTGGATTTCAACCTAGATTCAACCACTAAAATTTCACTGTTATCCATTCCAGATAAATTCATTCACTATCCTAACAGCCTACTCTTCAAATTTTGTTTGTGGTCATTACCCCCAAAAGTTCAAATTCTCACTGAGGCAAGCGATCACCACCACATCCAGGTGCTGCTGGGCCGAGTCCGAGTCAATCCCGTGACTGTCAGAGTAGAGCTGTGCTCCACAGGATGCTCAGTGGCTGATTTTCCAGCTAATGGAGATCACCAGACCTTTCTTCTGAGCCGCCTCTAGGTAACTCAAACCTCTAACCTTTTGGTGAGCAGCCACACTAGTTAACCATCAAACAGGCACCATCCAAGGGAGGCTGTTTACTTCCTTCATATCAGGTCTCAACCCTAAACCAGAGCAAGGGCAGCTATACTACTAATCCCCCCAGGAAACAGCATTATCACAAAGAATCAAAAGAAACCCAGTCTTCTGTTAGTTTTGGGAGTCTGGTAGAGTACTGAAAAAGGGGATGGTTGGAAAGTTATTCAATTACTGCTTGTTTCCTGATGTGTATTCACTAACAGCCTGGTTTCTAGTAACTTTAGAAGTTAGGCTTGAAAGGAGGAAAGATGATCAGCATTTTTGGTATCTGCCTCCCTGGGCTGGAATGGTAGACAACTGAACCTGTCTATATATGATCACATCTAAGTTCCTACTGCAACTGCCTGCACAATTCATTTCGATGAGAACCACGCACTGTGTTCTACAATCTCTCCTACTACTGACATTATCTAAATTTAGTGTTGCCATTTTTAAGGCAGTTTTTCAAGACAATATACCTCAAACTACAAACACCTTAGGAGCTCCGTGGGCTTAGTGCCTAAGGCCTTTGACTGCTAACCAGAAGGCTGGCGGTTCAAACCCACCAGCCACTCCTCTGAAGAAGACTGGACAATCTACTTCCATAGCGACACCACCTCAGACACCCAAGGAGGGGTCGCTATGAGTAGAATCGATGGCAGTGAGTTTGGTTTTTTTGTTTGACTAATGTGTTAACTCTGTCCAGCACTTAGTATTCCAACAAAGACTTTTTCATTCAGTTTGCTTTTTCCTCTCAACCATCATTGGACATTTATACAAGTGGTTTTAAAACTGGAATCCTGGAGACACTGATCTACGTACCAGATTATAAGACTGTTTGTAATCTTGGGCTTCAAAACTACGATGTTGATGAAAGTCAGATGTCTTCGAGCAATAGCACCTCTATTCACAGTTCGTAGAATTCAGCAGCTCCCCAGGTCCAATTTGACACATGGACACACAAGCTCTGGCCACACGCCGCATATTTCTCTATTCTTTCATGCAAGTCTGAAGTGTTATAACCCTGATGAGTTACCATTTGCTGTTTTCAAACTATGCTGGGAATACCAAGGTTCACATGGGCTTGCTGTTGTTGTTGTCATGTGCCATCGAGTCGACCTGACTCATAGCGACCCCTCCTCGGGCTTCTCAGGCAGTATCACTACGGAAGTAGATTGCCCAACCTTCCTTGTGAAGAGTGGCTGGTGGATTTGAAACGCCAGCCTTCTGGTTAATAATCAAAGGCCTTAGACAGTATCCCACCAGAGTTCCCATGGGCTTACCAAGACTCCCTAAATCTTGAGCATACAATCACATCAGGAAGTGCAGGCATGTATCCCAATAAAAGCAACTAAGTCAAGTATTTGGGTATTAGAGTCCTCCTTTGTTTGTTTTCCCCAATTCTAATTATTTTATCAACTGATCTTAACCAAACTATGCCTATACAGGAAAGCAGTCCCAAATTTGATATTTGTAAGAATTACCCGGGGGGGGGGGGGGGGGATATTTTTAAATAAGAAAATAAAGAGGGTGTATTCAACAACAACTCAGGTAAAGCCCAGGTGTGCAAGTTTAACAAGCACCCTAGAGGCTTCTACACTTTCTTTAAAAAAACCCATTTCCTTAAAGCCTTCATTCTTTAGGTAGTCATCTAGGCTCCCCAGATGCTCCCATTAGGAGTCTCACTACCTCTTTGAGGCCTGAGTGAAAGCAGGGTGGGTTTTCCTGTTGCTGTTTATAGAAAGGAAGGGGAAAATGGAGAAAGGAAAGGCGATATTCATAGAAGAAAAGACAAGGGAGTATTTTAAAGAGTTTGCTCTCCATTATTTGCTTATGCTGCAATTAAAGAATGAAGTCTTACATTTTTTTTAAATGTAAAGGAATGACCCTCAGGATTATAATGCTACTTTTGTAGGTACCCACTTCACTGATTTCTCCACTCACACCTAAAGATCCCTAAAGATTTATCACCAAATGTGGGTAACAAGTAGCTAGAAATCCACAAACCCTTCAAACCAGTAGTATTTAGCCTGTTGTATCTCTTCTTCTATTTCTTAGCACTCATAAGAAACAAAAGTAAATGAAATTATAAATAGCAAAGTGGTAAATTTACTTAAAAGAGATTTGCTAAGTGATTTTTGTTTTAAGCATGCCTTGGTGGTAAGCTTTTCATTCATGGTACTGCACCTCATTAAATAGCTGAAATTAACTATGATCACATGGAAAACATCAAATCATATTAATAAAGTGGGTTCTAAAGCTTATAAAAAGTGATTCTTTTGAGTCCCATAGATGTTAACCAGGAGCATCAGTAGACGTATATAAAGATCAAATGCCTGTTTAACTTTTAAGTGTAAATGGATGACACAGGTAGAGAGAACAGAATAACCAGGAAGGGATATTAATAGACTTTTGTCTCATTTTACTTGCAAACTAAAGGTCTAAGTAACACAATATATTTTCAATAAAGCTAGTCTTATCCTCGTTCATTATTTTCCATTCACTTGCTATTTGTCTTTGAAGTGTTCCATTCCCCATACCCATTCTTCGAAAGATAAGATTCTTTTAGAATAGTGAATGCAAATGTACGTTAATTGTTAATAATTTCCTAAAAGTGCACACACCTAAATATATTTTTACATTTAACTCAGGCCTTAGGTTTATTGCTAAGAAGGCAATGTTCATGTATGAGCTCCAGTTCTTAAAATTTACAAATAGGTAAGAACTCAAACTTTCTAACCCGGTAACCAATCACACATGATGGAGAGCCTCACTCACTAATCTAGGCTTAAACAAGCTTCTAGCCTCCACGCAGTTTATACTCACCAGTGATGTCCCTAAGAGAGGATTTCCATCACTCCAAGAACCGAAAGGAAAATTTCGTGTCCCCTTTTCCCTTCCCTCACTTGTTAGCTCTGAGATAACAACAAAAAAAAGAGAGGCCTGAAGGGAAATGTACTCACCCCGGGAGTTTTCTGGTAGCCTTCTTCAGTGAAGCCTGGGCCCACCCCCGGAATTAAAGAGAAGTGATAGAGGAGACCTGATGAGGAAGGTAAGAATTTCCCCACCCCCTTTCTTCAGTATATCCCTGTTACTAGGTGCCCTCCAGAGGGTTCCGACTATCAGTCTCTAAACAACTCAAATTCAGAAGTTAATACAGCCACAAAATTATTTAAGTTACTTAGATTGAGAGGCGAGAGGAAACTTGGTGGCGCAGTGGATAAGCGCTCAGCCACTAACCAAAAGGTCGGAGGTGGCTGGTGGGTTGGCCTCCCGCTCTAAAGGAGAAAGATATGTCTTTCCGTAAAGATTACAGCCTTGGGAACCCTATAGGGCGGTTCAACACTGTGTTACTGGATAGATACGAGTGGACTAGGCTGGAGGGCAATGGGTTTGGTTTTGGTTGGAGAGGGACAGAGAGGAAAAGGAAGAGGAGACCCGGGAGAAAGGGGCATTTTAAAAACTGATTTTAAAAGATGAAAATAGTTACGTATTCCCACTTCAAGCTTCCCGTTTTGAAATTAACCCATTGTCTGATCAACCTGGATTAACACGTTAGTTACTCCACAAGTGTTTCTTTGCTAAAGTCTAAGGATGTTACAGGTTTGTCCACATAACACTGCTTTGAAGAGGAAGGCTGCCACCACGTTGGGCTCGTTGAATTCATTCCTGGTTTAGGCGATAAAAGAAACGTTAATATCTCCTACCTTCAAGGTCTGATCATGGCCGCCTATCTCTCTCCGTTTCACAAACACCACCGGCACTTCGGTTTCGGGGGTCAATGCCGAGAGCGCTCTTTCCAGGCCCTGCCCATCCGCTGTAGCACAAAAGCAGAGTGGAGGCTGTAAAGTCTTTCTTCCGCCGCCGGCGGCGGGAACCGCGGCGGGGCGGGGCTTCCGGGGCCCGGGGCCTTCCCGGCTGTGTGCCCTCGGGCAGCGCGATGAAGCCCTTGCAAATTAGCAGGACTTGCTCCATCTCGATCAGGACTAAAACCCACAATCAGACTTGGATTCTGGACTAATCCCTAAATTAACTGAAAATATGGCCTCAAGGCTAGCTATAAACGTCAGCGCTCTGGTCAGGGATAAATTATAGCAAGTCTCTGCCAAAATTAAACGTCCTCTTTTTCCAGTAAGAACTTAAGACAGAATTCCCTCAGCTTTCACAGAACGCCGCCTCATTTAATTTGTCTTTGAACTCTGCATCTAAATCGAATACTAAAATGTTTTCTTGAAATTTGAGACCATGAGGCAAAATTACACTCTGCCCATTTAAGGGTGCTTGTATTTAAGAACTTTGATACATCAGTAAATGAAAATTCTAGCTGAGACCAAGTATTAATAGACCCACTATTACAAAAGGTGAACTCAGAGAATGAGTCAGTGACAGAATTAAAAATAGAATCCAGTTACACTGACATCAGGCCCATTCATGAGACTAGATCAACACTCAAGCATATAAATGTTGGCAATAATGATAAAAGCAGCTAACCCTTCCACTGTGCTTTGTATATATTAACAGTTAATCTTCACAACTAGCCTTTTGAAGTAGGTATTTTCAGGCCCCTAATCCATTTCATAAATAGGTTAACTAAGGCACAGAAAAGGTATGTAACATGCCCAAGATCACCAAGCTAGTTAGGAAACAGCACAAGCAGGACGCAAAGCTAGGCGGCGCGGGGCAGGTTGACGCTCTTTACCCACTACCCAGCACTGCCCGATACCCTGAGATAATAACCACCGGACTGCTGTTTCAGCTGCCCACTTCCTGATCTGTGTCAGACTGGGCAAGTCACTTGACCTTTCCCAGCCTTGCTTTCCCCACTTGTAAAACATGGAGATGACATGTTTTGCCAGCCTCTCAATTTTTCTGGATTAAATGATGTAAAAATTCCTTGGAAAGGCATTCTTATATATTTACATTTTCTTAATATTGTCCAAGATCTGCCAATCTAGTCATTAGATTATAATCTCCATTTCAAAAGTCGTGTACTCAGAAATACAAAAGCCCATTTTCTCAGATATTCTAAAAACTGTCTCCGCAAAGATTTGCAAGAGGAAGGAAACCATGAACAGACAGGCGCCAGTCTCACCTACCATATGCTGAAGCGTTTAACTGACCCGGGTGGAACATCCCTGAACGCTGCCCAGCTCACCTGCCTGAGAAAAAGCCTCATCGCCCTACTCTAGATTCATAATGCACGAGCAGGCACAAAGCTCACACTGCAAGCAAACAGTCCCCAACGTGCTCACTTCCACAGGCGTGGCGCTTTGTCTGTTTTCAATTACCGCAGAGCTTACATGTATGCGAGCGGTCAGACGTCAGGTTCTTCCTCACAAGCAGGCTCACCTTCGTCTCGGAAGCAAACGCAGGACTGAAGCGAACTGAGGTGAAAGGGTTGCTGGTTTCTAGCAGCGAGAAACCACGCCTTTCTCTGAGCCGGCAGGCAAGCAGCCAAAGTCAGAATGACAAAGCAAAAATCCACTCCTCGTGCAGCCCTGGCAACCTACGCTAATCCTACACTAATCAGTTTGGCAAAGTGAGATCTCTTAACTGGGTGACACCATACCCTCTGCCTGCTCACAGAGGTCTCCGACGCAGGAAAGGAGCAAAAGCAGTTTAAGAAATGCTTAGAACCAGAACCAAAATGTATGTGTGTGTTTAACTGAGCCAAAAGCTGAACTCAACGCCCTAAAGCGGTTGCTCCAGAACTTTGCTGCCCTTAGAATCACGTGAGCATCTTTTAAAAATAAGGCAGCCGAGCTGCAGACATTCTGGTGTACTTGGTAGGGGTGTGGCCTGGGCATCAGAGTTTTCGTGAACAGTAATGTTTGGGATCCATTACGTTAAAGTAATGGATTAGTCAATTTGGCAATTCCCTAAAGGAAGTTACTAGGCATTTTAAAGAAATGTCTAGTCCATTCTGACTAATCCCCAGAAGTGATGATATATTATCACCAACACATAAATTCCCCCTTGGAGTACTTCCTGTTTATCGCACTCAGGTTTTGCCTCAACCCAAACTGATAATACATTTAACTACCCAGCCATGCACTGCCACCTGCAGCTGTGGAAGTGAGCCATGGACTCTAATACTGCCTTCTCCTGCTGGGATTCTTACTCAGCACCTTGCACTAGGTGGTGCTACCAATATTTGTTAGATGAATGAATGTCTTTCCCACGTCTTTGGATAATGCTGTACTCAGGAGCATACTCAGCTGTAAGGGTTGCAGAATCCTTGGGGCTGCAAGCAGCGACACCTTCTCTGAACCACAGCCGCTCCTGTGAGCCCCTTCCAAGGCTCAAACTGCAGGCATGGGTGAGCTGCTTGCCTTCTGAATGCACATGCAAGCACACATGAAGATGCTAAGCTGACACCTTCCCGACACGGCAGTTCTTTCAAAAGCATGTCTTAGGAAAGAGAGGGATTTTAAAATCATTTAAATTGAAATAATGTACTAACAGCAAGTGATAAGGACTGATTTCAAACAGCCTTTCCTGAGAAAGCGCCTGGATGGACAGGCAAGCCAGCAAGCCAGCGTTTCCACGGTTAGTATTTTCTAACAACGTACCAGAAAAAGCTGGGTAAGGCTTTTTCACTTCACATAAGTGAGCAAATTATAGCAAAACTCCTTGACTAGTTCATATATTTGTTCTAACAAAGTAAAAAATTAAATTAAAAAAGAATCACCATTTTTAAATACATTCTTCACTTCTTTAAACCATTCTTATTGCTGTTAAGGGGACCCAAGTGTTTTACCTTGTCACGAAATACAGACTAGAACTCAGTAGTTCTATTTAGTTACTGGTTAATGGAAAAAGGAAATTTTTGCTGTAACAAAAATGTAATCATAAGTATACTGCTTTCCCTGAGTTCTGTGAAGCATTCTAGCAAATTATGGAGCCTCAGGGAGTACTGGCAGCCAGCAGGTCAGAAATGAGGAGGCCAAGGACCGTCAGGCTTTCAGCTGGAATCCTGAGGAGGTAAACTACCCAAATGTATAGCCAGCAGGTCAGAAGTGAGGGTGTTGTCTGGAATCCCAAGCTTGCAACTGATATCTGAGATCTTGGGCACACTGAGCCCACAGTTTGGAGAACTGTGCCCTTTAATTTGTGAGGTGTGACCTAGCTCTGGGTGGTTAGGGTTAAGAAGTGCTACAAGTGCAGCTGGTGTCAAAACAGAAGCAGAAAACACTGCATTCATCCATATAACTGGTGTCGGAGAAAGAGATTTGATATATTCTCACAGACCCTCAAGATAAAGTCCAAACTCCTCATTTGTACTGACATGGTAAGGCCCTTAGTCTTTTTAGATCTAGCCATCCACATAATCCCATGATTCTAGGCACCCCCACCCTAGAGTCACCACTCCATCTCACTGCTTGCTCCCTGTAAAACAGTAGGAATAGCAGTAGCCTCAGAACCTATCTAACTTCAGAGGGATAATGTCAGGGATTAGCCCAAAGCTGATCCCTATGAGGTGGAGGTCAGATATAACCTCCACTCTACAATGTTTTTTTTTTTTTTACCAATTCTGACACCATCCCTCCCTCCCAAGGATTCTCTACTTCACTGCCAGGTTCAATAATCCACTGCAATGGCCACAGAAAGCTCAGATTATATTTACAGCTAAGTGGTATATTAAGAAAGTGATAGGGTACAACTTGGGACCAGGATCAACAGGCTCAGGATCAGGAAGCTGTAGGCATAATCTCCCTTCTTCAGTGTAGGACCGCTCTCTCAGCTCATTTAGCTATGCAGGCCTCCTCTTGGTCCTCTCAGGACAGCTCCTCTCAGCCCCTTCAGAACAGCCCTGCTGTCTGTTATTACCAACTACTGCTGGGCCCCTTTCAGGCTGTTGCCACTTTCAGCATCACAGCTCCTGAAGCAGGTTCCTTGCTTTCTTTCTTTTTCTGCTACTTTTTTCTTCCTTCTGCTTCTCTTCCTGCTTCTTTCTGCCTGAAAAGACCTCTGTGGTGCTGGCTGCTTAAATACACAAATTCCTGGTCAATTTCAAGGTATGACACTCCCACTAAGGGTCACAAACTGACCAATCCTTCTCAGTAGGTCACAGATACTCTATCTGCGTAGTAGACTACAGCTCACCTCATTTGCATAACCTATTGACCAATCCCTGCTAGATACATACCAATCACAGGGCAGGTCACACAGCCCAAGACCAGACAAAAAGTATGAAAACCAAATTGTTCACAATTTACTCAGGAAATGTCAACCTGGACAAAAGTTACAAACCCTCTGGGATAGAAAACTAGGGCAAACGTAACTCCTCAGGACTTAGGGGGAAAATCTTTAAAGCTGTTTATCCAAAGAACCAGAGCAAAAGGCCACGTGAAGAATTCATTTCACCAAACTCTCCTTCACAGAAAACAAAAATTTTGAAAAAGTTCCGTGTACCGCCCTGGAGAGAACAATCATGGGAGAAGGAAGGGCTGCTTATGCACTGGGAGATAGCTCAGGGTGCAGAAGAGTATGAAGGGATGGACACTGGGAGGAGGTAACTATGGGGAGGAAGTGGGAGGGGAGCTGCTGCATTGTAAATTTTGGTCAATGACATGAGACAAAGTATATGTGAACTGCTGTATGAAAAGTGAATTTACTCTGTAAATCTTCACCCAAATCCTAATTAAAAAAAAAAAAAAAAGTTTCGTGTACACTGAAGAAGAGTAAAATAGGGTAGAGTGGTTAGGAAAGATTAAAAATGTGACACTTGAGCAGAGACCAGAGTGAAATGAGGAAGCAAACCAAGAGAGTATTTACAGAGAGTATCTTTCTAAGTAGAGGGAACAATAAATACTAAAGCACTAAACTGAGAGCCTGCTTGACCTGTCCAAGAATCTGCAAAGGAATCAGTGTGTCTAAAGCACAGTGAGAAAGGACGAAATGGCAGTGAGGTCACAGGAGTAGCCAGGGGTTGAATTCCAAAGGCTATAGTTTAGATTTTGGATTTCATTGTA